TGCGAGGTAGTAATCTCGCGGAAGGAGGCGGCGGAGAGGGCCCGGGAGGACGACCTCCACTCGGACCCGATCCGCCGCCGGCGAACCGGGCGGCGGAGGCCCGCCTACCACAGCCTCATGCCGCCCTGAGTGTGGCCGCGGGTGGACGGGGTGGGTTTCCCCTCCACCCGCATTAGTTGGCCAGCCGCGAGGGGGCGGCGTCCGCGTGTGCCGGACGTCGCCTAAAGAGAGGAACATCTACATTGAGACGGAGCCCGCACCAGGAGCGGGCTGGCGCTAGGAGGGGTCCGGATGTCTTAACAACAGCTGTTCCCGGATCCCTCCTGTTACAGGCGCAGAGTGGCACACCGTGTGGTTTTAGTCGGTCCGAGTCCGACACACCACCCCGCCGCAAACCCCGGAGGGGTGACGGTCCGAGGGGATTTCCACACGTTAAAAAAAAAAAAAAAAAAAGGGTTTGTGTCAAGTTTTCCTTCTCTCTGCAGTGCTGTTGTTCTGCGTAGTTTTCTCCCTTAGTCGTATCTTACGACACCCACGGGATGAATAGGGGGAATAGTTATAGTAGTAAGTAGAGTAAACTTCCCTATACAACGAAAAAATACTTACATCCAACAAAGAGATACCCAACTACGGTTTAACTACCTTTGTGCCTCTTTCACATCACCAACAGCCTTTAGTAGTCCACTGCTAGACATAGGCCTCTTCTTAGAATGGAAATGAGTAGAGAGTACTCATTATATAAAAATATAAAAATTAGTTTTTAGTTGTGTGCACAAATAGATATTAAGGTTTTCCTGCTAGGCCCTATTCCTCTCCCCTTACCGACAGTGTGTCCGACAGGGTTCATAATGGTTTTGTATTCTTATATCTTTAAGACCATTTATGTACATTATGGAACTCAATAAATGATTGAGTATTTAGTGTAACTACCGATTCTGCATCGCGCAGTAATAGTTCTCTAGCCAATAAATACAACTAAACTTAACCAACTAAGTAATTAAACTAAACAACAGGCATAATCACCTAGTCGGGTTGGAGGGACCTGTTCCTAAGTATGCCATCCGTATTAATTGCGTTATTGAATAGGTAATTATAATAATTACAGATTCAACCCATCCCAGTATACTAGGTACTGAAAAAAAAACATACTGTTACTCTAATTCTGGTTTTTCTGTTTAAAATAATTTTGTAATGATTTAATTAAAAGTGCGCATATACAAAAAAATAAAGTAAATTTTTCAATTAAATAAGATCCTTGTTATTAATGTTTACCTATAGATAAAACTTCCTTGACATTTATTTGCTTCTTATTTATTGATGTCTAACAGATGGAGCAGTTTAAAACAGTGTTAAAAATGAAAAGTAAAATACATTAATGACTTCGTCAAAACCAGTAGTTGATTGCATCCTCTGCAATTCTTTTCTACTCGTACGAAGTTCTTTACAAAGCCAGGCAATCTCTGTCTCAAAATCTCTTTTATCTGATGTGTAAACTGGCAGCTAATAAAAGCCAATGGGCATTGAACACACTGATATCAATAAAGACGCCCATAAAGGAGCTTTACACTAACAGCAATGAACTACCGTGAACCGGATTGTACCGGTTTAAAGCAGATAAAACCGGATCGAATGATTCAATAACAAAATCAAATGAAGGAAACAGTGGATTTTATTTTATTGTTTCTGAAGCTTTGTGTCGACAATTTTGTGCGGAGATTTGTAAGGTTTGGATCGCGATTTAAATATAGTCTATGAAAGTTTTTGATGGTGAAGGTTTTTTATAACAGCGGATTATGAAAAAAAATAAGAATTATTAGTTTTTATGATTTCTTATAAAATTAGTCTTTTTTCTCTACAAGGAGAGAAACTCCGCTTTTTGCCGTCGTTATATGGACTCTATATAATTACGGCAAAAAGTGGTAATGTTGTATCTCGAAAAGTTTTGATAACTTTCGTCAATCATTATTTTTAATATTTTATTTTGTTAGTTCTTGAGTGCAGACCGCGTTTAGGCAAACGTAGTGTAGGACTCCCACAGGCCAGGTGCGGATCTGCGCAAGATGGCTGGCAGGAGCTGGATGCGAGAATCCGAAAATCAATGTAAGTGCCGTGCAATGGGAAAGGCCTATTACCAGCAGTGGGCTGACGAACGCTCGTGGTGAAGTGATATGTCGGTATCGACAATAGAGTGTCCTAGTATGTAATTAATCTAACACAAGTCCCGTCAAAGCATTTAAACACGGCTGTGTTCGCAATATGTTGATTTTGACACAATATATTCCCTTAATAAATCATATTGGTGTGCATACTAAATTACATATTTTTCCAGACCATAATTTATCTCCGGGGCAAAATTTCCTCCAGATCTCTTCAGAAGTTCTAGCGTGATTAACCAACAAACATCCATATTTCATAGAGAGACGGAAAACTTGACACAAACCCTATATCAATCCGTCTGGCCAGCGTGGTATAGTAGACCAAAACCTCCTTTCTAAAGAGAGGCTTATGTCCAGCAGTGGATTATTAAAGGCTGTTGATGTTTTGATCCATACATCTATCTGTAGGAACTTTGTAATGTATAAACAAGTAATCAAGTTTGTTTTGTAGAAGTTACCAGAACTGTAATTAGTCAAATGCCCAACGAATTCTAATCAATATTCAATAAACGTATCAAATAATATTGTTGCACTATATTTAATATGTTTCTGTTATTACTGTATAATGATAGGAAATTATAGGGACGTAATTATATGGTGTTATGTTGCTGCCTTGGCTTTGTTTATTTTACTGCATACGTCTGCATTACAAGTAGCTGATTTTTTTTATAAGGACAATGTACTTGTAGTCCTATGGTACCCTAGTGTCACTGACAATGTGTGTTCTATATTTCACCGTTATTGATATAAATAACTAACTGATCTACACAACATTGTGTGCGTCTTTTAAAAGGAAAAACATCTTATCATAGTATAATATAATACTTATTGTGGTATCTGTTGTCTTTTTCACTTTTACATAGATTTAGATAATTAAATTTGAATTTTTGTTTTTTTTTTGTTATTACTTGTGGATATGTTAATATGTTTATGCTGTTACTGTAACGAGTAAAACCACAACGCGAACAATAGCATCAATAAGGTTTTGTATCTTGAATGTTATTTATTTATGGTTCTTTGAATAACATGTACCGAATTTATGTAATATACATTTTTTTTATACTAGATAAGCTTAATCAGTTTTGTAACTGCATTTCCTACTTTTATGTTGAAAGCATGCCGTGCATAAAATGTGAAAATATGGTAACCTTAACATGTATTTTAGTGTAAGCCTTGTTGGTTGTCCTTGTGATGTATATATATTTTTCATTTTTTGAAACATACTCGGCTCCTTTTGTTCGTAGCCTGACGTTATAAACGACATTTATAAAGAAATAGGCGACATTTTCACAAGCCACTGATTAAGACATATTAATAGATAAATATCTATCTATCTATCATCATCCCTATTCATCCCGTGCGTATCGTAAGAGCCGACTAAGGGAGCAAACTACGCAGGACAAAAGCACTGCAAATCGAAGGACTTGAAACAAACCACATACTAACCCGTTTGGCCAGTGTGGTATAGTAGGGCAAAACCCCCTTTCTAAGGAGAGGCCTATGTCCAGCAGTATACTACTAAAGGCTGTTGATAATGCTGACATGGTCATTTTTGCCGTTAAAATTTAGAACATTAGACAAATATTAAGGTTGAAAATCTGACCCTCTAAGGTTGGTCAAAAGTTGAACATTTCCTTTGAGAGGTGGTTCTCTAGACAATATTGGAAATGCTTCTTGTTGCTAGGATATCAACAATACTCTCAATCAGTAATTACACATGCTTTACCAAATCAGTAATCTTTATCAGCCTCCCAAGAGTCCATGGAATAGTATATGCTTTATTGTCCATTAATTACAATATGATAGATAGAATAGTCTCATATCTATAAATATAAAATATATAAAATATTTGCCATCTCAGACTGAAGTTATTCATCACAAAACAAAGCCTAAATCGTAGGGGCTACAAACTTGAAATTTTGACAGCTGATTTATAAGTTATAAGCACCTATTAAGAAAGGATTTTTAGAAATGTTTCCCCCATGGAAGTCAATAAGGGGTGGACGGTTGTTGTATGTCATTTTCAAAGTTAGAAACACGAAATAAGAAACCAGGGCAGAGAAGCCGCGTGCGATAGCTAGTCAGTGATATATTAGTATTAGTATTTTAAAAGACCAGAATATACATTTATAATATACTATTGCTTTTGTCACGGCTCCGCCCGCGTGTATGTCGGTATCGCGGTAAAAAGTAGCCTTTGTTACTCGTTGATAATGTGGCTTTCCGTTGGTGATATAATTTTTTAAATTGATTTAGTGTTTTAGGCGTGTAAGCGTAACAAACAATTTCTGACATAAGTAGGGAAGTATGAATGTATTTAAAAATATATACCTAAGTATCTTTATCAGTAGATCGCTTACTATTTTTCTTACGTGTGGAAACCCCCTAGGGCCGTCACCCCACCGGGGTTTGCAGCGGGGTGTTGTGTCGGAATCGGACCGACAAAAACCACACGGTGTGCCACTCTGCGCCTGTAACAGGAGGGATCCGGGGGCTGTTGTTATAAGGACGTCCGGACCCCACCTAGCGCCTGTCTGCAACGGTGCGGGTATCACCTTCGGGTACATTCTCTATTACGCGACATCCGGCACACGCAGCCTACTCGTCTGCTGGCTACAGTACTAAGTACTACAGGTTTGCGCCAATTCTCTTTAGCCCGAGCGAGCGGAGTGAATCCGGTATCCACTGCAACTACATTGCGATGCACTCCCACATCAGTATGTAGAAAATATTCTCTGAGATTGTATATCTCGCGATTGTGTAGGGTCTTGATACAAACTTGGAATATACAACCTCAGAACCGATGAACGTAGGTTATTATTATTATTTCCATTCATCTCTTACCTTTCACACGGAACTCGGAGTGATCCATGATAATGGATGAATGATGTTTATCTGTAACAAATAAAATTGATTAGTTTTTAACGACTGAGAATAGTCTCATCCCTTAACACCCCACTTTGTTAATCGAACAGGAGGTCCAATGAGCAGACAGGTCACAGGTCAAGATGAACAGCTGCAAATCTAGAGTCACAACTGCGTTGCTGCCCTTGGGACGATGGGTTTGGGCTCTGTTAACCTTACTCACACATACATATGTTCTTTTTAATGGAATAGGGGACAAACGAGCAATGGCAACGAAGCGACTACCGCCGGCCATGAACGCTTGCAACTCAGGAGTCACAAGCGCGTTGCCGGCCTTTGAGAAAGGAGTACGCACTGTTCTTGAAGGTTTGATGGTCGTATCGGTCCGGAAAAACAGCAGACGATAACCCGTTCGAGGTTGGTAGTGCGAGGCAAAAAGTGCCATAAAAGGCGAACAGAAGCGCATATTTATTTACCTATATATGAAAAACGTCGGAGGGTATGTGTCAATGTCTACTAGGTAATTGCATAGATTTTATTGTACATTGCATGATGTATGTTTACAAGTCATTTATTACAAGAAATTCATTCATAGGTGTACTGTTGCATTAACGTATGGAGGACCGGAGACTCCTTTTTGTTTTTTTCTTTTTTCTTCCGTGCGGAAATCCCCTCGGATACCACCTGTCGGTGGCATGTCGGATTCGAACCGACTTAAACCGCACGCCGTCTCGGGTACCTACTAATAGCCGGGGAACCAGGTATACCCTAGAAAGGAAGTCCCTGGTGCCCCGACTGAGACTCTTGGTATCTTACATATACATATAATATGCTTAACAATTATTGTTGTGATTATATCCGTGTTATGGAAATATAGTTATTATTATTATTATTACTTGGTGAAAAGTAGCGAAAATAGTGCTTAACACCGGTTTTTTGTGTAGCTGTACCACTAGTAGCGCTGGTACCACTCCGGTTAAGTTGGCCCATTTGTGTCAAAGCATGGCCCTGCCACGTAAGCTTCTTAGAATGAGGTTGTTGTATATGAGTTCGGATAGAACCTATATCCGAGAAACATTGACAGTTATGACTATGGGCTAACCTCATTAGCAATTAATTGTTGCAAGTAAGAATGTAATATCTATATTTTCTTCTGTTTCGAATCGTGCGTTTATTTTTAAAACGTCATATAACTCTAGTAAGACTAACACAGATAAGACTTACTATAAATTCAGTGAAATTGGTTTAAATAGAACAAATATTACGAGTACTAGCTGTCGCCGTGCGGTTGAGCACCGACGGGACAAGGCATTAAATTGTTTTTATTTCATTTACAAGTTAATTAAACTGTCATTGTTCATATGTTTTTACATAATTTGTAAGTAGATAGCACATATAGTTTAAAAAAACATATAATTCAAAATATAATTATAAAATATAAAACAAACATAGTATTCAGAATAGGTTAACTATTCATTCGGTTTAACATTTTAATAAATAGTCATGTCATAATTTCATTAATGCCATGGCATAATAAAGATTTTTTATAAAATATGTAAATTATATAAACCACAAAAATTGTTTGCACCTATGCCCGTTATATACTTTGAAACTATCCAATCGATGTACACCAAACCGGTTTCAAATTTTTTAAATATCCTTTTTCTAACAAATAAACAAAATTTATTTATTTTAGCGTATATCTGCTAGTACATAAATAGATATGTCATATAAAATAGAACCATAAAGTAACAAATTCGGTTTGTAACCGCATCGTATTAAACTAATCCTTACTGCCAGACGTTTTAGAAGCCCTATGAATACACGTCGATACGAGTCTAGTTCACTACGCTTTACATTTACACAGAATTTTGTGGAACAACTCACTTATGTAGGTAAACACCACATGCATATAATCTAATATGGTTCAGAAAATGACTACCTATTTACTGAGGTTGTCAAAACAGCGATTAAACAAATGTTGTAAAACCTATAACCTAATATTAGAACAGCATTTAGTACATTTATTCTATCATGAGAGTGCAAAGAACTAGACTAGATAAATATTTACTTTTTAAAAGTATCACCGACTTCATTGCGCCTCAATCATGATGAACTGTAATAAACTGGATAATTTATTGTTTGATTTTCCACCCTTCAACATTATCATTATCATCAGTCTTTATTAGTCCACTGCTGGACACAGGCCTCCCTTTAGAAAGAAGTTTTTGCCCTACTATATGTTTTGGCCGATACGACCTTCACACCTTCAAGAAAAGAGCGTACTCCTTCCTAAAAGGCCGGCAACGCGTTTGTGACTCCTGAGTTGCAGACGTTCATGGGCGGCGATAGTCACTTTCCATCAGGTGACCCGTCAGCTCGTCTGCCCCCTCTAACATAAAAAAATAAATAAAAAGTATACTACTTTGGCCACACGGGTCGGTATAGGGTTTGTGTCAAGTTTTCCTTCTCTTTGCAGTGCTGTTGTACTGCGTAGATTGCTCCTCTTAGGACACCCACGGGTTAAATAGAAGTGGTCACACTCCGTATTCCTAATCCTTCATCACACGGATCGGCTACATACAGTATGTAATTACGAAAAATACATTAAAAAACAAGGTGTTATGTGTCGTACACAATTTCACACTCATTTGCTATTTTCCTAAACACTTTATATACCTAACAAAGTAGTTTGAATTATAAAGTAGTACATATCACGTAGGCAGCTTTAAGTGCTTTTGATCCTGAAAAAATATGCTTGATATACGTTGGTTATTCCAAAGAGAAGCTGTCCATAGTAGTCTCAGGGACTACAGGTTCGAATTGAAAAATTATTTTAGTGTTATCTATTTACCTATTTATCGAGGAAGGCTATAGGTAATATACCATCACGATACGACCAATAGGAGCCGAGCATCAACGGCAAATGCTGCAAAAACGGGGAAAATTTATTCCTTTTGAGGGACATTATTAGACAAACAAATAGAGAAATTTGTTCCGTGTTTTTGTTTGTAATTTATCTCTGACTAGCTTTCGCCCGCTTAAATGTCGGTTATCCGGTAAAAAGTAGCCTATGTCTTTCCTCAAGAATCAAAGGATCTCCCTACCATCACATCATCATCATAAACATCGGTTCAGCGGTTATTGATTCCCATACAAATTCCCCCTAAAGGATGATTTCTGGGATAAAAACTACCCTATGTCCTTTGCCGGGACTCGGACTATCTCTATATCATATTTAATCTAAATTGGTTCGACGTTTTAAGCTTGAAGAGGTAACAGACAGACAGACAGACACATACACTTTCGCATTTATAATATTTGTATCGATATGGATATATATACGTATATAAAAATTTATATTATATGCATGTTTATTTAGAAATGCACAGCAATAGTCTGGAAAAAACTCACAGAAATAATAGAGGGCAACCCCTATTATTTCAGTAAGTTTTTCCGTCCCTTTTCAAGAAATCACTCCCACATCAAAATATTTTCTATAGGGTCAAAAATAAAAATAGTACGATTAAGAAAAATAAATTTAACGTAAAAAAGCGTGTGGTGTCAATTGTTGTAAATATTTAATTGACAGATTTTGGTAAATGTAAAGTTGTTATACTGTAAAATATCTTAAAAAACACCTCGTTATTTTTACGATAAAATAACTTTTTTATAACTTAATCATTCTATTTTTCTTATTGACCTTATAGAAAAATATTTTCCACTTTTTAGTTTTGTTAGTTACACAAGCGTGTTCTTTTAGTTATTTTTTTTTAACTTATTTATTTTTGCTTTAGTATAGTTGGTTAAGGGAAATCTTGTTAACGCTTCCTTAATCAATATTAAATAAATTCTGAATTTCGCTCTATTTCGTAGAAATCCTATTATTTGTGATACATTTTCTTTCGTAAAAGCAATCAAAGGGCCATCACTGCCTTCTTCAGAATCCAAAGTTTGCTGACGCTTGGATTCGATGAGAATCGAATCGGCACATAGTTGCTTTAGAAGTGCCTTCGTCTACAAATGCAGTTTGAAGTTTATGAAACTATTCTTGTTGTTTTCTATCAAATGTGTGCATAGGAAAATTAAATTATGTTGAAAATAAATTGTAGAGAGGAAGTTGCAACTTTTATATTTTTACAGGTTTTTTTGTATCAAAAAATCTATAACAAAAATATTATGCCTTCATAAAAATGCTACCTTATATCTTTTAAAACTTGAAATAAAATATATTCTTTTCTATTCTAATGGAATTTTTGAACGTAATTTTAATCCATTTCATAACGTCAAATTAAATTGAAACTTCGCACACTTATTAAGGACCGATTACAATCCAATAATTTAATAAATTTGGCTGATTATCCTGATCAGGATCTTCAGGATTAACGGCTTTTTCCGTACCTAAAAATACGTTAGTGTCTTTTGCTACGTACTAAGAGGCGTGTGCTGAAACATGCGTGTAATGACTATATTTTGCATTAAATTACTTACTTACTTGTTACTTATTTAGTCTGAACAAAAAATAGAAAAAAGCAAAAATAAGTAATAGTTTGAAAAACTAAAAAGCACGCTTTTGTAACTGGCAGAACCAAAAAATTGAAAATAATTTTCTTTAAGTTTAAAAAGAAAAATTATTTTACAGTCAAAAATTTTTTAGTTTTTTTTAATTATAATTTTATTTTATTCCGTAATCCTATCAATATTAGTGCAAAATTTTACGGTGGTATATTTTTAAATCAAAATATTATCTGCCATACTGTCATCAGGATACGGATTGTCTACTGGTGTACCCTTGCCGATTTTAAAGTTATTTATGTCACAGGGAGCAAACAAGCAAACAATTCACCTCACGATAAGTAAAAATATCTGATAATAATATCTCACACACGCCCGTCTGATCCCAAACTTGGCAGAGCCTGTATTATGATAACCAGACTGCTGATAAACATACTTATATATTTTTAAATACATATATATTATAGTTAAATTACACCCAGACACGGAATA